AGTAATACAAATCTTACTGATCCCAAACTTTTGAACGGCAGTGTATATATATATAAGAAGAAATAATAAAAAACTATTCCAAACAATCTGAATTAAAATCTATCATCAGAGGTCAATTTATTAATTTTTTAATTAACAGATCTGCTGTATCTAGTCAAGGTTGATGTTGTTCAGTCTTACCACATCTGAGTCTTCAAATTCTCTTGCAGCTTTTGCAAGAATCCCAAGTTTTCTCGAATCAGGCGTGGAGGCCGTGCAGGTGGTTTGTCTTGTTTTGATGGGAGATGATTGTTCATTTGGTCCTGAGTAAAAAAGTGGAGAAGGCTTATAGAAAGAACTTGTTTAGGAACAACACAATAAATAAAACCATAAATATATTATCACCATCTGAAATGTCTCGTCCATCACAATCATCATCTAATCCAGATCTTTTGGACATTTCAGGCTCTGGCGTTTCTTGTTCTTGGACCGGGACGGGAGACTCGTCCTGACTGTCATGACCTGAAGCATCAGCCACATCTGGAGGAGAACTGGCTCTCTCTGGAGAAGGCCGAGGGTCGGTCCTCACAGCTGGACACACGCTGTTCTCGGAGGCAATTTGTGTTTCAAATGAATCCGACACAACGACAGACTTCTGAGGAGAGTTTTGTAAGCTATCACTCTCGGGTTCTGAGCTCTGAGTGACTTTCTTCTTACGCAGAGGGCTTTGCGTGAAACAAAGCGGTTTTCTTTTCGTGGGACTCTTCTTCACAAGCTTATGCTGGAGGTACTTTAGAAACCGATCCCTCATGGACTGCCAGCTGTGCTCAGTCACGCGCCGTTTCTCCATCTCTTTCCAAACCAGGTTGCCTTTGGCTTCATGTTGCCGCTTTTCCATGAACTTCAAGATGGCTGCGTCGTCTTCAGGCGAGTAACCCAACCGTCCATTGCCCTGGTGCCGGGTCGCCATCCTCGTCTGGACAGACGGTCCCGCGTTAATCACATAGTCGTCCAGATTCAGCTGCTGGTTCTGCTCTACACAATCTGTGACGTATTTCGTAGAGATGTACTTTTGTCCGGAGCTCGCCGTGACTGTAGTCGCGTCCCCGGGGTCGATCAGCAAAATAGCTCCGGGCTCTTGACTGCGACACAAAGTGCCTCCTCCGTTAGTTACCAGAGGGTAAAGCTGAGTTTTAGTTGGGCCGGGTCTTACATAGAAGCGCATTGATTGTCCACCTGTGTCCAGGAATAAGACGGGAGAAATGTCCGGGACCTCCTCCTTTCCCTCCTTCGACATGGTGAAGGTTATCTGGGGGTAAATGAGAAAGTTGTTTTCATATTAAAGCTTAAAACAGGACGTTAGTTTGGTTTGAAATGATAAAACATTAGATGTGTTATTCAATATTAGGACTATAGTATTATGAAGATTTCTGGTTGACATGTTGATACCTCATGTTCATATTAATGTGTTCCACTACACTCAGAAAAGTCAAATTAGGTCTGATAAAAGCTCTAGCAGCATTTGTTTACAGATGTTTGATAGATAGATAGATAGATAGATAGATATGCTTGTATAATAAAATTAGAAATTATGAGTAATTAGAAATAGATATACTTGGTAACTGGATGTTATAAACTTGTTGTATATGTTGTATCGTGTAATAATAAACCGTAATAAACCCAATGCCGAGAAAAAGAAACTGAAAGGGTGAGGCTGGATCATAACAGACAGTTAGGCATTAATATTCATAATACGAAGAACAATATATACTGTGCACGATCGTGTTAGAACAATATTTGTATAATAACAGCGGATTACAGAACCGGCTTTACTGATAAGATGCGCGTTAAATATCACATGCGATTTATCGTGCAGCCCTAGCTTGTATAGATAGATAGATAGATAGATATAATTCATTAACTCGTTGTCTTTACTCTCTGACATCACGCTGATTTAAAACACATACTTTATGAATAAATTCTAACTTAATAACCATAACTTTGTGTACACTCGCGAATCTGCTACCATGAATCAGATTTGCACGCCACAGGCTTTCCCTGTTAATCTGCTTACACAAAGGACTAGTGTAGAGTCGCTACCTGTCGAGACTCGAGAAAACTAACTACTGATCTTCTTCTTCTTCTTTGACGTTTTACTCTTTCGTTGTCATATCCTTTACATTTTATTAAAATATGTTCAACTGTTTCAGGAAGATCACATTTAACACAAAGTCCAGACTCATGTTTTCCTATTATAAATAATGATTGATTAAGTGCAGTGTGTCCAATTCTAAGGCGAGATATTATGCTGTCTTCCTTTCTATTCCCAAAAATTCTCCTCTCATTTCCAACTGTTTTTTGAATATTATATAAATGCCGTCCTTTATTCTCACCATCCCATTTACTTTGCCATATATCTTTTAATGCTTTTATAATTAGCCCTTTTATTTCTAATTTACTCATTGGAACATTAAATTCTATGTCTGGATGTTTTAATGTTTTTTTCGCTAGTTGATTCATGTTCTCCACTACACCTCGCACAACGTTGTTTTCCCTTACAAACAGCTGCCACATGCCCGTACTTTTGACATTTATAGCACCTAAGCGGAGGAGGAACATACTGTCTAACAGCATAGCTTATAAACCCAAAGAATACTCTTTCTGGTAATCTTTCTTCATCAAACTGCACCATTACAGATAAGCTGTCCAGCTTTTCTTTTTCTCTAAAATATTTCAGATGTTTGACCCCTACCACTTTTGCTCCTGATAAACTTCTCTTGATTGTGTCTTCTGATACATCTGTTGGGACCCCTGTTATTACTCCCTTCATCCATTTCTTCTCTTCCAACAGTGTACACGAATTTTTTTTCCCTGCTAATGTCTTTACGCCTAGTACCTGTTTTTGTTGTCTGCTATCTTTACAAAAAAAGTAGCAACTTTCCATTCCGTAACATTTTCGCATGTTCGATCTTCCCGATCTCTTCTTTGATCGCTTTAGTTATTTTCAGTGGGTTCAATGCATTCATATTATCGGACAAGAAATGTATCATTACCTTAAACTCTTCCTTTTTCCTTTTCTCCTGTTGTCTTTCCCTTTCACTTTCCGAACCAGAAAGTTGATTCCATTTTTTTTTTCCTTTTCCGATTTTCTAATGTTCCAATTTCCATTTTTACCTCCTCTCTCCCCGCCACTACATTCATCCTCTGTGTCCAGCTCACTTCCTGATCCTACGTCACTTCCTTCCATCTCTGCTCCAGTCACACCCTGGTGTCGCCTGATGATGTCACTCAACCTGGCTGGAGAGAAAGTAAACATAAACTACTCGCGTCTCGCGGCGCGTGCAGAGATCCTCTGAGCTGAGAGACACGTGAGAGCGGTATTTCACAGTAAGAGTCTCTGCTGCAGCGCCGCCGGGAAGAGAGGCGTGTGAGACTCTCCTTCTGCAAACAGGCGGAGAAGGACATGCTCGCTGTCTCAGCGCGGGAAAACTATACAAGCGAAAGTAAAGGTGCGAACGATTTTTATCAACCATTTTATTATTGTTGTTAGTAACAGTAGTAGTTAGATTTATCTTCTTGTTAAACTGTTTTCATTGACGGAAACAAAACAGGCAAGTATTTGTTTGAATCACAAGTAACTCAATGTTAAATACTTGTTTACTGAACTGTTGTGAAATATTAATATCACACTCGCAAACTTGTAGTGCTGCATATTAGCAATGATGTGATAGTCATCTTTTCATCAACTTCGACAGAATCATACATAATATTCCACAAAACATTTACATCACCCTTTGCAGTATCTTATTAATTCATAATTAACACAGAATTAATAATACATTTTGGCACTGTCCAGTTACACTAATTACATTTTTGATATTAAAGTTAGGCTTACGCTGTAAATGTCGCTGACTTGAATGTATAAATATTGTGTTGTCTAAGTGTATTTGGATTAATTATGAAACATAATAACAGTGTGAGGATTTAATTAGTCAGGAAACAAACAGCATAAACATCTGAATGTGAATCTGAAGCAAAAAAATAAAAAAACGCTTTGAGAGCATAAAATGTACTTTATGAATATATTTGCACTATTTACGACTAACTGCCATTTCCTCACCAATTAAGGGGAAGTCATTTTAATACTAGAAGACTAACATGAGCTTTAGCTGCTTAAAGGTGCAGTGTGTACATTTTAGCGGCATCTAGCGGCGAGGTTGCGAATTGCAACCAATGGCTCAGTCCCCCGCTCACCCCTCCCTTTAGAGAAGCTACGGTGGCCGATGCAGGTCTAAGATGTGGTCGGTAAAGACAGCAGAGAGCAATGAGATTTCTTTACAAAGGTAAATGAAGGAATTATATTTACTTAATCATTCAATAAATCGATGTTATTGCGAATATTAATGTACTTGTTCATCATTGTGTCAGTGCTTTATTGGCAAGAACAACAAAGTGACGAAACGCGCTGTGTAGAGCAGTTTGTCCGTTTAGGGCTACTGTAGAAACATGGCGGCGGTGTAAGGAGACCCGCGGTGTATGTAGATATAAACTGCTCAATCTAAGGTAATAAAAACATAACGGTTCATTAAGTAAGGTCTTTATACACCTCTGTAAACATGGTTATGTATATTATATTGCATTTCTGTCAATAGATCGATGTAAATATTACACATTGCACCTTTTAGCAAATTCTCATAAAATACTGCAGGTGCTAAAATACTGCACGCTAGTCTGTATCAATTCTCAGACATGTCAGAATAATACAGAACAAAGGTATCAGTATCACAATCATCCCTGGTCTTGTTTGTCCTCCTTGGTTTTTCTTTTCTTCAATCAGATGGTTTCCTTTGTCTTCTGTTGACTTTGCTACTAAAATAGAAATGAAAAACAACGGAAAAATAAAAAATACTTCTTTATTGTAAAAGGTAGGTATAATTCCAGTAAATAACACATAGGCAGAAATACAACTAGTGAAACTTGTGGTCAGCAACAGTCTTTTTTCATTAATGTCATAAATCTTTTTACACACCTTTAACGCGGAGCTGTACTTTCCAAAGTGTTAGTGGGCTGATATAGCAGTAGTAGATCCCTGAATCAGCAGATGTAAGGTTATTGAGTTTCAGTGTGAAGTTGCCATTCACATACTGGTCCGGAAACATTTCAGCTCTGTTCTTGTAGGCTTGGCTCTGTTCAGATGTCACTCCTTTGCCTTCAACTATGTTATATACATTCAGGCTGTCATTGTGTCTCCAGTGTATGGTTAAGTTTTCACTTTAAAACTTCCGTAAGATAAAAAAATAAAAAAATATCCGTAAAATTTACGGTAAAAAACCGGCAGCTGTGGTTGCCGGAATTTTACCGTAAAAAATAAGGTAGCAACATTTTAGGTTTTACGGGTTTAACTTAAATTTACAGTTAAATACCGTAATTTCATTAACTGATATAATGTTAATATACCAACATATTGAAGTGTTAATATCTGTTTTGAACCATTGTAATGCACTG